CCAGAGAAAATGATACCCGATTTCGGCTTACGCTGCAAACATGCCTGTTTAGTATTTCAGGCATATACTGGAAGGTCGTCCGTTTACCATTTGCACCACACCGACCATATGAGAAGGCCGAAAGTTCCCTTTTAAAGGGAGTTTCCTTTGAAATTACTTTGAACATGCGTGCCAGTTCCTCGATAATTTCAAAGTTCTCATCAGCACCTCTTATAACTAACACTAATTGAGCAGTATCAATTATATCAGTGATTTCATAGCTATTGAGCAAAATTTAAATTGAATTTAAACTGAAAAAGGAACACTCGAAAAGAAACAAGATTTGAGTTATGTCGAAGACATTAAAATCATCAGATTTTATGCCTTGGGTTTTGTTTGTTACATTACTATTAACCATTAACATAGATAATTTCCTAAATTGTCTAAGTTTATAATTTTTACTCAACAATATGTGAAACGTAACTATAAAAGAAACACAAAGTAAATTAAGAATATAGTTTAGTTACATTGTTTATTTATTTTGTTATGTGGCATAAGAAAACACATACATTTTTATAACTTCATGTGAATCAGACTTCAGTTCTAATAGAAATATCAATAGAAAAACATGTCTTTAATAAAAAGATGCAAAACAGAGAGTATATTTCATAATTAAATTTGAGTAAAGCGTTGAATTTTGCGTATAAGAATGATGATTTTTAGGAATAGCACTGATTAAATCAATAATAAATAAAATTCTTTTGATCTCATTTTATTAATTACACATTTTAACATAACGAAAAATCAATTTTTTTTTTAATATTAAGAATCTATTTTAATTACTAATACTTGATTTATAAATTTTAAATATATAGATACATGATTTATAATTTTTCGAATAATCTGAACTTAATATTTATTATATAATATAACTTATTAATTATTATTAAATATATTATAATATTAATTATATAATATAACTTAATAATTGTTATAAAATACTTAGGTAAATATATAAAAAAAAAATAATGGGATAAAATGTCAACTAATTAAATTTGAAATAAATTAATTGAATATACTGAGCTCAATAACAATTTATCTAAATAAACAGTCTTTGTAATTAACTGAGAAACGTAATATAGCTTGATTAATGTAAAATCAATGTTTTCAAAATCTTCGAATATTCGAGTGTGTTTAATTTCTTATAGTCGAATTTTTAGAAAGAATTTAGCGTTTAATTTGTTAATAAAAAATGCTAGTTCCTATGGATTTTTTCTATTAGTTCTAATTTTAAGTCATTCATTAGATTTTTCTTTCAGTTTACTGTGAGGAATACTTCGGACTCAGTTACAATTTGGTGACTCCGAAGACAAACGGACCACCAAACTAACCATGCTTTCGTTTTTCACATACCCCATAGTTCTGAAAAAAGACAATATGAATTAAAATCGTATTATTTATGTCCATAAAAATAGAATGCTGACATTCTTTTAGTTTCTTCTGAAAAAAAAATTTGTGAAATTTTAAGTTTCATTTGAAATTAATCATCGTAAAAAGTAGTTGGTTTCATGGAGTAAAACTTCAATACGTTAGTGAAGTAGTATTTCAATACGATGGGCAAAATTTTATTAAGTGATAGTACACACCCAAGCAAACGATTTTTATCAAAGAATGCATGGTCGTAAGCAAAGCGCAAGGATGCTGGCGCATTTGGAAAGTTGTTTCATGCAAATGTGAAAGCTCCATTCCTGTTGCTAGTTATTATTTGCATGTTATGGAAAGAAGAAGAGCTCGTATACAAATTTTCGTCATGATTCATACATCAAAGCTACTGATTCGAGAGGGCATTGTCAATCGCGAGAGTAACGCATCTCAAGATGTTGCCCTTCTCTAATAAGGAAAAAGTCGATATGCATTCTGTTTATGGAACTGCAAATGGAAATAGCTTAGAGGCTCACCAGTTGTACGGAGAACGATTTCCCAACAGGCTGTTGCCCAACCGTAAAACATTTTAGTGCTTGCACCGACTGTTGTGTGAAGCGGGATCCTTTCTTTCAGCCAGGTCGGATGCAGGTAGTGCAAGGACGGACGGAATGGTTGAGGAAGCTATTTTGGATATGGTGGCTGATCAGCCAAGTACAAGTACGCGAGAGGTGGCTAGACAATAACAAGTATCGCAATCCACAACATGGCGAGTATTGAAGGATGAACGTTTGCAACCTTATCATGTTCAACGAGTCTAGGGACTGACTCAAAGGGATTTTCCTAGTCGTGTGCAATTTGCCCTCCGGTTTCTGCAGAATAATGCTGTAAATCCTGGTTTTGTTGCAATTGTTCTTTTCACGGATGAATGTACCTTCACGCGTGATGGTGCATTTAACACCCACAATCAGCATGTATGGGCAGAAGTAAATCCACATGCCACTTATCCACATTCGCATCAGCGACGTTTTTCTATCAATGTTTAGACAGGAATAATCAGCGACCATTCACTCGGTCCGTATCTTCTGCCACAGTTTCTTGACAGGAAAAATACCTCGCGTTTCTGCAACAGGTGCTGCCAGACAAGTTGAACGACGGTCCTTCACACATCCGGTGGGTAATGCAGTTCCATCAGGATGGAGCACCAGCTTATTACATACGAGAAGCGCGAAACTATTTGGTCGTAATTTTTCCAAACCAATGAATTAGGAGAGGTGGTCCTATAGTTTGGCCACCGCTCTCGCCAGATCTTTTATGCCTCGATTTCTTTTCGTGGGGACAGCTGAAAGCTCTTATGTAGGAGACTCCCATTGAATCTACAGAAGAACTTGTCTCCAAGCATTCGGCTGCTCTTCGCGATATGCCGGGTGTGTTTCAGAATGCTCGCCAATCTTTTCTTCGCCATTGTACTGCGTGCATAGCCTCTGCTGGCCACTGTTTTGAACACTTATTGTAATCACATGCCATTAAATTTGCTTTTATAACTTAAATTCATCGTTCTTTGTGTGCTTCTGCCTCATATAAGAACATAACTTTTGACGCCCTCTAACGGTTTTGCGGTTTGTTTTCGACCATGCATTCTTTGACAAAAACTGTTTGCTTGGGTGAATGTAAAACCACTGCTTCTACACAAAAATGTAAATATTGAACATCAAATACGTAAGAGTACACGTGTGTGTAGGCGGAGACAGAAGAGAAACAGGCTTTATAAGTACGCGTAAGTTAAGACGCATTTCGTTCGATAACACACCTCGGCGAATGTTTTGGCGTTATTTTTCAGCAATTGGTTAAATTCAAATTGTAACAATAAAAATGAGTAACCAACAACGTTTAAATGATGGAATGAGGTGGCGAATTGTGGTGAGGCTCAGGTACAGATTTGTAGAGAGTTCAATTTAACTTCCAGCATCGTATGTAACTTATAGAAACAGATCCAGGATACCGGATCCATCGAAAGAAAGCCTGGGCATGGTCACCCAAAAGTCCCGACCGCAAGATCGCATTTAGTCCATTATAGTGATGAGGCGTAACAAAGGGGCTATAGCTTCTCAGCTCTCTCGTGACTTTTGTGCTGCCACAGGAACCCGTGTATCAAGGGTGACTGCTTCCAAACGACTTCATGAGAGAAGATTGTTTGAAGAAGACCTGCTGTTTGCGTCCCACTCATTTCTACGAACAGGAGAGTCCATTCAGCAGAGAGCATAGAGATTAGAGTATGGAGCGTTCTCTTCACCGATGAGTCCCGGTTCAGCCTAAACACCGATTCTTGCCATATGTTCATATGGAGAAAACCAGGGACCCGCTTTTTACCCTTCAATATCCATGAAATCGACCATTATGGCAGTGTAAGTTTAATGGTCTGGGGAGGAATCATGTTGGATAGCAGCACACCTCTCCATATCTTTAAAAAAGGCTCCGTGACAAGTGTAAAGAATAGGGATGGGGTCTTAGAGTCCTATATGTTTGCTTTTACAGGGGTGCAGTTGGCTACTGAGTTCTTTTTAATGAGCAATAACGCGAGGCCACACGGAGCTCTTCTGGTCGACGAGTTTCTAGAGAGTGAGGATATTCGCCAAATGGACTAGCTAGCCAGATTTCCAGACCTCCATCCTATAGAACATGTCTGGGACTCTGTGCGGAGACCAATTACAACTTACTACCCCCCTCCGAGAACCATCCAGGGAATTAAAACAGCGTTACTGAGCGATCGGGAAATTGGCACAAGAAATGATTAGATACCTTATTTTAGGGATGAAATCACACTGCAAGGCATGAATATAAGAGGACACTATACCCCCTATTAACCTATTTTTTTGTTTATTCTGCAACCGCTGTTTTATACCTTCCGACTCCAACGAGTGTTACACACGATTATGCGTGTGTAACACAGTTGTTGAACAATTATTGGTTTTGTATTGTATCAAAGTATCTACGTATCAAATTTTATTAAAATATGTCCAGTAGTTCTAGAGATTCGCCAGATGATTGGCTAGCCAGATTTCCAGACCTCAATCCTATAGAGCATGTCTGGTCGACGAATTTCTAGATAGTGAGGATATTCGCCGGATGGATTAGCTGGCCAGATTTCCAATTCTCAATCCTATAGAGCATGTCTGGTCGACGAATTTCTAGAGAGTGAGGATATTCGCCGGATGGATTGGCCAGCCACAGATTTCCTGACCTCAATCCTATAGAGCATGTCTGGTCGACGAATTGCTAGAGAGTGAGGATATTCGCCGGATGGATTGGATAGCCAGGTTTCCAGACCTCAATCCTATAGAGCATGTCTAGGACGCTCTGTGGAGGGCAATAACAACTCAGTACCCCCCTCCGAGAATCATCCAGGGAATGAAAACAGCGTTGCTGAACGATCGGGAAATTGCCACAAGAAATGATAAGATACCTTATTTTAGGTATGAAATCACACTGCAAGGCCTGAATATAAGAGGGGACCATACCCCCTATTAACCCATTTTCTTATTTATTTTATATTTTGTTATTTTATATTTAAACTTGTCTTAACATTTGAACATTTTTTTAATGCTAGACCTGGCCAATTATGAAGTATATAAAATAATAAGAATAACAATTTCAACACATAATTAATTTTCCAGTATTAAGTATCATAAATTTAAAATATAAAACTCTTATATACTTTTGTTGCTATTTACTTAACGCTAAATGCCTTTCCTGTGCATTAGATCTGTGCATTACAAAAAGTGCTGTTCGCAACAGATATGCTAGAAAATACTTATACAAAAAGTTTGTACTTACTCGATTGAGTTGGTGCTATTGTAAAAAATACAATAAAAGAATTTTAATGAGTAGAATAAAATTAAAGCAAATCAAAATTATAAATAAAAGTAATAATATTTCTCTGTATCTATTAATCAAAGAGTAATTCCACGTATGAAGTACCGAGCATTCCTTTTCTTTATTATTTACTGAACATTTTGAATGGAGTTTTACATTTCCATATGCTATGTGCCAAGCTAATATAGTATCAGGCCTCTATTTTTATATTCAAATGACAGAAAGCAACTCATGAAATAGTTATTGAAATAAAGGGAAATATAAAAAGAAATTATATAAAATTATAATAAAAAGACGAAGACGATAGCACAAAGGTACGATAAAAAAAGGACGATCACTAATATGTTTAAAAATTGATGAAGCAAAAATGGCACTTATGAAGGTTGGAGACCCTGCATTCAGTGCAATATTTACCATAGACTCATGCCATTTGCAAGAATGTCAAATTTTTTAGCTCATTAATTAAATATATTGAGACATTAAAAGTCGCTGCTCCATTGAATTGATTAATCGACTTCTGAAAGGAGAGTGATTAACTATCATTGCTCTGCGATGAACATACCTAAAACAAAATTTAAATCAGGTCAAAATTTGATTTAGGTAATAAAAAATTGGCTGCTTTGGCTATAAGCATCTTTCATTCAAATTGCTTCTTATTTTTTTAAGGCGTGTTGTCATCCATAAAAATGGACTTCCAACAGCATCTTTGAACTTACTTTGGAATTTAAGTCTTAACCCATTTCCAGGGAATTCTCAGAAAGTCCGACACTTTCGGAAATAAAACAAAATTTGAAATCTTCAGAATAGCTTTTTTTTAAATATTGATTTTGTAGGCCTAATTAATATCTTTTACAAAGAGCTAACAAGCTTTATGCAGTATTCGGCTGAAGGTTAAAGGATATTTTAATTTTATTTTACAGCCTTCTACAGCAGCTTTACAGCTTTTTAAAATTTTATGTCAGCCTACTTTTGAAACTGCCACTTTCATTTTGTGTTTTTACCAACTAGGCTTTTTAAAAGAACCCAGACTAAGCAATATAGTTTATGTTATTATTAATTCAGAGAAAAAAGGAAAATGATAAAGTCCTACTTGCTCATTAAAGTCTGTTTAATTGGATTTTTCCCTGAAACTGTCTTCTCTGTTGTGTTGCAAGATATATTTTAAGGAAATTTCCTACCAATCGTTCATTCACTTAAACAAATTGCAGAAAAATAATGAACACCAGCCTCATATATATAGGTTGAAAATGATCTATTTTATAACGACAGAAAACCGAATTTTTTCAAAATATTTTGTAAATCATTCCGTATGCACGTACTCCGGAAACTCTTTTAACATTTGAGAAGTAAAAAAATTGACACAAAAAATAATGTATATGCTTAAACGAAAGTAATTATTGAAAATATTGTTGTTACCAGGAAAATGCCGACTTGAACTTATTTTTAAATATAATTGTTAAAATCAGTGCAAAATCATACTAAAATATTGAGAATTATGAAATTAATTAAACTTTCAAGAAAGCATCGTGTATGAAATTTGATTTTCGTGGCAGTCATAGCAAAATGCCGTATTTTTTGAAAACTGATAAGTATCGTATTTATTATTATTTATATAAACTTCCAAATTTGGTGAGAATATTGTCACAGAATAATGTCATCGCACAACCTAGCGTACCTTTCTTACATTACTTAACACTAGCGTACATTACTTAATACTAATTAGTTGTCTTATAAATGCTTATTATTTAGCTCTGTTTAAAGGTTGTAATTTTGTTGATGTCTTTCTTTACAATATATTAACGCGCATTTTTCCCACACCGTTGTTAATATTGGCAATCCCTAAAAACTCTATTACATTCCCTTAATGTGGCACAAAATTTTACGAGCCGTGAAGTAAAAAAAAAAAACATATGAAATGTATTAAAAATTTAATTAATTGAAGCGTAAGTTATATAAAAATACTATTAAATATAGATTTAAAATTTACGATAAAATACGCTTCAAGTTTTCGTAGTCATAAATAAAAGATTAATTTTAATTTAAAAAATAATTAAACCAAAATAACTAAAAACTAAATAAAATTCTAAATGCTCATACCTCTTTTTTATGTACGCAAATAAAACCATCTTTGCAATTACAATAAGCATGGTATTTTTGTAATTCGCCTTGAGTAACTTCACAATATTCTCCTAAAAATTGTAAATATATAACTAAAAAGGAAATACTTGCATGCAGTCATTATTGTTTGAAACTGCCTATAAT